ATTTAGCTTTTTACATCCAGATTAAATTAGAAAGAATAAGACCAACAGAAGTGTAAACAAGGTATGGAGACTCCAAAACAGGATTTAGAACTAAACTGCATGCAGGGTTTTGAAAGATTTTCATAAAGAGAAAATATCAAAGCTTAGATTTTGTAACTGTTTTCAAAGTATAAGTTGATTCAAGCCATGCATGTGAAGTTAAAATGATATTTTGAAACTGAAATGACTTGAAAATTTCTGCTAGTATTTTTGCCACAGGAGTAAAATATGTGGCCTTGCAAAATACTCACATGGTTGCCTGAGATTCCAAAATTCAACAATTTTGGAAGAAATTCAACAATTTATTTTTAATCTTTTAAGGCAAATATTCAAATTGCAACCAATAACCAAGTCAACTGGTGACTGGGTACCACAAAATCAGTGGGTGATGACTTGCACACTTTTTTGTAGACTAGAAAGACCTCACGCTTTTTATGGCTAACTAATTCCATGGATACGAAGACATTACACATACAAAGAAGAGATTTGATTACAAGTTTGTGTAATTACTGTTACACTCAAGAGATTTTTTCATAAAATCTATTCCTATGTACAGTTTTGTTTTCTTAGAACACTTTTTTCTGCTAACATTTTCTCTACAGATAGTTTCATGTTTCTTTTACTAAGTTTAAGAGACTGAAGTCTTCTGTTTGTTTACACAGCAGAAACGGCACAGAAGCTCCCTAGGAAAGGTGACAGTTACCCAGGGGATCTTTCATCCTCAGCCTCGGTTTGGAAGGACCTCTAGGGGTAGGAGGGTAATTCTGTGCTCAAGAGCAAAACTGAATTGAGTGTTTGTTCAAAGGAGTATCACTACTGATAGGATATTATCCTCCATGTAAAAGAAAAATGAACAGCTCTTTATTTATTTAACCAAAAGATATAACTGATTACTTCTAAAGTATGATCATGATCATCACAAATGACTGCTTTGTTTATTCTAGGGCCCAGTATATTTTTGGAATGCTATATGTAAATTTCATATTCACAAATGCGATTATTTACAATTATATTAAAATACAAGCTCTTAAATTTTTAGAACACATTTCAGAATACTGAATAATGTCTAAATACTGATATGAAAGAACACATCAGAAAACTTTAAACTGCACAATGAATATAAGGTTGTTTGGGCCTAGCAACTTGGCTGAGAGCATTAGAAAGAGATACTTGCAAATGTAGGTGGAAATATAATACAAATCCTAGTTCCTTCCTTTTACAGCATTAACTTCAACAAAGTGGCAGCTGTTTCTGAAGTCTTGTAAAACCTTAAATACAAGCTGGAATAAAGAGATTGATCATATGATGGGGACAATGCACTTATTTCTTCCTATTTTTGGACGGCACAGCACAGAACTGAATTTACAAAAATATATATCTCATAAAATATGTACTCCTTGGTATTTAATAATCTTTAAATAACAGATTAACGTAAACCCTTTTCCAACATGGTTCTCTTTCAGTTCACTTTAATCTGTGGACAATCTATATGAAATAAAAAAAATTCCCACTGTGCTCCCAAAGGAGAGTACATTAGCTTATACTCTTATACTCATGCCCCATCCTTCTCACTTGAGCATGACAGAAGAATTTTGTATTCTCTTTCAGAAATAGTGGTCTCTAATCACATATTGTGAAAAAGTAATGAAAAATGCAGAATGTAATGTAAACAAAAATAGCATGACTCACAGGCAGACAGAAAAACACTGGCAGACAGCAACTATGCAATACATTTTCTTGAAAGGGACACATTCAATTTAGACTCAGGACAAACAATCCATTAGTCCAAGGCAATGGTCCACTTCACAGACAGTAGTAATGCACCTGTTTTCTAAAGGCAATTACAGACATTCAGGACAGTGTTTGTCTGAGTCAGTTCTGACTTTGCTACCATGACTGCAACTGTTTTGGGAAGTACCCAAGGCAGCTCACTCAGGGTGTTATCTATGGCAGAAACCTAAGAATGGATGCTTGTGGAAAGTTGCCAAACCATGGATAATCCTTTCACTGATGATGTTCCATATAGGCACGTGCTGCAACAGTTTCATCATGTGTAACAGCACTGAGAATTTTCCTCTCCATGAATTTATCTTTGTATTACTGAAGTGTTTGAACCATATAGCCTGTGATATAATAAATGTCAGGTCAATTCAAGCTAAGATTAGATAATACTGTATTAGCTGACTTGTAGTCATCTTTTTTTTTTTTTTTTTTTTAAATAAAGTGGCCACATTTCAGTCCTTTACATTCATGAGGCAGCTTGGCTTGTGCTAGTAATGCTGATAAAGAGCGTGATACCCTCTGAGGACAGCTGGACTCGTGCGTCCAACTAAAAGGTCAGAATTGTTGACATGAAAGAAAAGGTTGCAGTGAATTTGTTTTGGGTTAACAGACCTTGACATGTTTTTCCCGTATGGTCAAATCAAGTCACCCATTTTGCCACTGTGGTGCCACAAGCTCAAAGGAAATACACAAGAAAAAAGAAGATACTTATTAGAATGAACAAGATGAATCTGAAAGTTGATCTTGAAGGTCAGCAGCAACCAATTTTCTTATAGGAAAGAGATTGGAAGTATATAACAAAGATTTAAATACACAATTGGATGTGATGTGATGAAAACATAATTGTTTGTTCAGAGTCCTACTCTTCAAGGTGGTTACCTATAAATACAGACCCATTATAGACCCTATAAATGGGTCTATAATGGAAATTTATTCAGTAGGGAAGATACAGGTATCAATCTGTAACAAAGACAATTTCTACCTCTTCTGCAAACATTTTCTTCAGGGAAAGAGTATGGAAAAACATTTAAGACTTACCATAGGAAAAGTATTTTGTCACTTTTCCTAAATTTACTTTAACTCTGAGAATAACCTCATACGCTGCCTGAAAAATATAGTCGCATGTAATTTTTATGTCCAAAACATTTTGTTATTTGAAGAGCTACGGCTTCATTTTTAACTCTTTTTGTTGAAAATCTGGGTCAAATACAGTTGAAATGTACTGATTAATACTGAGGAACGGCTTTTTGCTTAAAGATGCTACCACTAACTGGTAAGATTTGAATTGAAGAAATCATCTGCTTTCTGTGTAACAGCTGGCATTTAAATGCCTCCTGAAATCTCAATACTGAGTGATATTTGCATTTTCTATAACTTTTCCCATGAAGAGATGCATTTAAACACTTCCTTTCCTGTTTTCCTTTTCAGATTTCATTCTGATAATTCCATCCTTTCTTAATTACAAAGAAAAACTACAACAAAACCCACAAACCAAACAAAAACCCTAAAACAACTGCATATTCTTATTATTCGCACAGGATCAGTTTGCCATCCAATATGTCTGCACTCTTGTATTGACTTTTTTTTTGACTTGTCAGTTTTAAGGTTAAAAAAGAATTATTGTTATGTTTCACTGAATTAACCAGTTATGATCTTCAGGCAAAGAATATCCTCTGAACAATGACAGTGACACTTGAGAAAAGTGGACAGCGGCTGTCAGGCCATGTTGCTTGAAACACAATCAGTGCTTGCACTTCCACTTTCCGTCCCTCCAACATGGTATGCATTTATGTTGTATACTATCTATGGCAGATGCCTAGAATGTTCTCTCAATCGTGCTTCTGTTAATCATTTTCTCCCATATCTGCTCTCTACTTCTCTTCTAATTTTTATCTTCCCTTGTTTCTTATTTAATCTTTATCAGGCTTGTTCAAATGTCACTACTACTACCCATGTCCAGCCTCTCTAGCTTCATTCCTGTAAGTACAATCAACTTGCATTTCAAATTGCTCCTTTAAGTTAGTAGTAGCTACTTCAAACAAGATCTGCTTTTCTATTTCTACTGCTACTTCTACTAATTGAGTACATCTCACTACCTGAAATTTTGTCATTTGCTCATTTGATTTTTTTAAGTCTTAACCTATTTTGACTCCCTGTGACAAAGTCTGGGTTGATGACAGTGTTTTAAAGGGCTGGTTTAGCAGTAACATGGGATTGTTCCCAAGGAGTCAGATTGCACCAATGTTTTGAAATGTGTCTTCAGAAAGGATAGGAAGGTAATATATTCTAAAAATTCTTTATTGCTCATGCTCATCTACAGGCAGGGATTTAAAATACAGAAAGAAATGGCAAGAACCATGTCTTAGCTAGAAAGCTAGCACATCTCTGCAGTAGGGTGTAATACATCTGCTAGAGCTGTTCCACATAGATAATACAATTCAGGAAAACCCAAACGGTTAAGAATGTTTATCCACGAGATTACTTCATGCGCTCACAATAACAAAAGTACTGACACTGTGATCTGAAAACCATTTTTTGTAAACAAAATCTTGTGCCGCTAGAGTGAATAGAAAAGCTGGTAGAAAATAGGCAAAACATCATGGCAAGAGTATTTCTCTACATAACAAAGAACGAGAAATAGTTTCTACAAACTGAACAAATTCATTTTCTATTTGTACTATGTTTTGATGTCTTGATAGCTTTTTGAATCAATTCTAATGGCTAATCCAATTTTAAGTCAAACATAAATCTGCAATAATTCCAGTGACCTATGTTAATTCTATTTTACTCATGATAACTTAGACATATCAGCAATCAAATGGTGCATACATTATTAACAGATTTATTACATTATTAGGATTTGTTATAATAGAAACATTTGGAAATAACACCATGCAAAACAAGTACACAAGCTCAGTCAGTATTAGAAATGTGGATGCATTGCTGCACTTAACAACTGATCATAGCCTTATGTTTCAAACAATTACAAAATTCTATATTTCTGTGTTTGTCTTACATGACATTTGCAATCTAAGCACGTGGCAAGCAATGCTACCAAAAATGTCTACAGTTTGTTACTAATTCTGATTGAATAAAATAGGATTATTTGGAAGCACATTATGTCTCATAGCTATTTTGAACATCAGCATTTAAATGAGTTGAAAAAATGTTCTTCCTACCTTATAATCATCCTCATAGTCATTATATCCACAAGTACTTAAGATGTCAGGAAAAATATCTGACCATCCATTACTGGTACAATTTTTGCTAATATTTCCTGTAAAACAAAATTTGAGAGTTTAAATCAGAAGGATTCAAAAGGCTACTCAACAATGAATGTAGCCAATCTAATTTTGTTATCCTCTGGAAACATGCTGTTAATATACTCTATTTCCTAAGTCTCCTGTTAAATCAACTCATCTGTTTCCTATCATATGCTCTTCATTAACTTTACTTTGACTTTTACTACTGCTCTGAGTAGTCTCTACAGTAAAGAAATATTCCAAGTTGTGATGGTAGGCTTCTGCTCTGGTACAACAGCTATTCCTGTTACATCTGCAAAAGCCTGAAATATTTTGTTGTACTGTCTGAAGTATTCTAGAAGGAGGCCTTCAGTTCATTTTATGAAGAGGATAACTTGTAGATTAGCTAATCTGAAAGAAAAGTAATTTCAGTGAGAGTATTCTGACTTAAACTTTTTCCTAGAAGGCAATACCACATGATCTTCTGAAGAGTTATTAAAGCTCTTAGATATTATGGTGGTGAATTACTGCTACAGCAAACATCAGTAGAGTTTGTAATGGATTTTAAAGGTTGAACTTTGTGAAAGGTTGAGGAATGACGACATAAATACACATGCTGAATCTTAACCTTTGAACCAGTCACTGATGTTCTTACAGAAGATACAGAAAATGGAAAAGGAATTCTGAACTGTTTCATAAAAGATTTTTTGATTGGAATTGAGAAAATAAGTTGATTTCTCTCCCATGTGAAGTTACTCAAATGAGATTGGGGCAATCTATAATAGCACTCCTTAATCTAACGAATATGCACTAATATTCATCCAATATGAAACAGCTTGAGAAAATCTGATGTTAGAATAAACAAAAGTCATTAAAATTATTATAATTTACTCTTAAAATGTTAAATCATGAGCAACTACCCTTCATCTTTCTTACAGCAATTTAAATATTCATGATGCTTGTCTTTCTAATAACATATTGTTATGGTTTGGAGTTTATTACTGGTCTTTAACTAACTTGAAGATGCCTGCTTTCCATCACCCAGGGGCAAATAAATGTGTCACAGATCAGCTTAAATCAAGAATAACCAAACATATTCGTATAAATTCCAAACTAAAACTTTTCTGATTTTTATCTTGCTCCTCAGTTACTTCTTCGCACAATGTCTTCAGCAGTAAGTTGTACATACACCACGAGGGGTCGATTGGCAAACCACAAAACCTCTCTAACCTTTTTATACCTTCTAAAATGCCTTCACTTTATAAGTAGATAAAGATTCTTTCATTAGGCAGAGCAGAGGAACATGTTAAAAGAATACCTGAAAGGTGCTTACAGTGAGAGCCGTCTGGTCTCTTCTCACTAGTGGCAGGTGACAGGACGAGGGGAAACGGCCTTAAGTTGCACCAGGGCAAGTTTGGGTTGGATACCAGGGAAAACTTCTTTACAGAAAGGGTTGTTAAACATTGGAATAAGCTCCCCATCCCTGGATGTGTTTAAAAACCGTTTGGCTGTGGTGCTCAGGGACGTGATTTAGTGGAGGGTTGTTAGAGGTGGGGCAGTATGGTTTGATAGTGGTTGGATTCAATGATCTTTAAGGTCATTCTATGAGCAATTCTATGATCCTATGAACAGGTCTTAGGAATCTTAGTCACTGAGGAGTTCATTTCAGCTTCTATTTAAAAGCAGCATGAAAGGTTTCATAATAATTCCCTTAAATTTTAATAGCAGTAATTTTTTGCTATTATGTGTTAATGTTGGCTCGTAACTCTCATGAAGGCAAGGCAGAGCACCTCTCCTAAGCACAGAAGGAACAACCTGTATGCAATCTGATGGCAGATGTTAGAGATGTCAGTCCGGTTCAGCGGCATTAATTATTAATGCAGACAGGCCCAGAAGAGTAAGCAACATCTACAGCTTTGATGAGCTGCACTGTATCAGAATTTATGCACATTTAGTACCTAAACTAAGAATACCAGATGGACCACAAAGACAATTATTTGGTCCTTCCATGATGTATCATGAACAGCTCTGTAGAAAATCTGTTATTTCAGCTCTTACAAAAACTAAAACCTTAGGCTCCAAGTCAACATTTTTAACACATTATTTTATCAAACACTAAAAAGAAATAAGAAAAAAATACACTTTGAAGTTAAATACCTGGTTTTCCAGAAAAAAGGCTAAATATTTTTGGGCAAGGGACAGTGACAGTCTCTCCAACCTTTGCAGGACGCCAACAGGTGATGTTATCCCAAACTCCAACACATCCTTAAAGAAAAACAACAGTAAGAGACATGAAAGCTCTGCCTGGGACTAGCCATCCACTGTCTTTACCTCATTAATAAGTATCTAAGACTCAGTGGAAGCTTTGGATTAGTACTTCAAGACAGATTATACTTGAAAGAAAGCCACAGAGATTATATTTTCTTTGAAAATATTTGGGGAATCACAAAAGTCTAATGATTAATCAGCTTCTTTTAAGTCAGTCAATACACTTGTTTTCAAAATGTCTCATCAAAACCATGTCACGCTAAGGAATGATAAAGAATGTAATAAGTAACTTCTGAGTATTAATATAATCTAGGAGCAACTTCAAAATTTTGAGAATCTCTTAATCACAGTTAAATGAAACTTTTAATGTGCAGTAATTGGCAAACTGAATGTCACAAAGAAATATTTAAGTAATTCATTGGTCTCAGCAATGCCTATATGATGGAAATACATCGTGACTGGAGAATTCTTGGAATAATAGGTATGGACTTACAAAATCTTCTCTCCTAAATTAAGTAATGGAGATTCAAACAAAGAATGCTTCTGTATGTTGATTTCAGGAAGGAGGTCATAAAACTTCATAGGAACATTTGATGGTAATACTAGTAACAACTTGTTACAGATAGATTGCGTTCGTTAAGGCTTTGTCCATGCTGACATCTGCATAAATGTTCTCCAGAGGAATCAGTTGCTCATGGAGACTGAGTCCTTCTTCATTCCTTTTAGAAGAACACAGCTCCAAATGAATTCAGAAAGACGATGTCAAAAGTAAGAGATTACTAGGAGGAATACTTCACAAAGTTTACTGTGTGGGTATGTTACATGTAATGCCTTACCCTCCACTGCTTTGTATACTGCATCAACATTTCAATCCCAAAAGATATGCAAATTTATTATATTCCCTACATTGCATACCTTCCCATACTCATTTCAATTAATAGGGTGCGTAAGACAATGTAAAATGGAACCTGGTCAAGCAACTCAAATAAATTTCCATCATAAGTTAGATCCACTCCTACGTCCTGTGCCATCACCACATCCTACTTCATTTGTAATAACGAACCTACTTTTTTTTTGTTTTATAATGCTTTCCATGGCAAGTCCCTTTATATCACTTTGTCTCTAATGGCAGCTGATGGGAGGGTAGGAAAGGGGCAAAGAAGTTATTTCCCGATTATTCCATCTCCCATCTTCCGTACTACCTTATGGACAATTTACCCACTGCTACAAATTGTTTGTGGGCATCTTTACAACATGTTTTTTTTTCTTGCAAAGTAGGCTGCAAGGTGGCACTCAGTATCCAGGATGTCCTCCAGAAGTACGTGGGTCTGAGAAGAGAGGTTCATCCAGTGTACTTAGAGCAAATCTGACCTGTAAGTATTCTTGACTGGCCTTTAAGACTTCAAGGATCTCATCTCCATAGAATGCACTGCTCACTTGTCTAAATTCATATATTTCTAAAGCAGACTCCTAATAATGTTCAGAGGAATTTCATTCTCAAAACATGCATTTCTTCCCAAGAGAGTCTGAAGTTATTAATTTAGTTGCAGAATCTAGACAGTATGTACTTGTATTCTAATCAATCCCACTCTCATTTGCTTAAAGCTGATAAACATTGGTTTGTCAAGATTTCCAATTACTTTGAAGGGGACTATTTACTCTGGTTCATTTAATAACTCTTAACTCCTAGATCAATATATCTGACTTCTTTCAGCTTTACCTTATGGTAAGGGAAACTTAGGACTAGGAATTATGAAAGTGGCACTCCTTCCAGCTGTATTCTACAACCAGATGAGAAGATCCTGTAGACAACTCTTTCCAGGTTTCTGGTCCTTACCTTTCGAATGAGTTTTTTTAGCGACTGATGTAGAGTGTAAAGGCTCCTTGACCTTCACAATCACTCCTTTTTCCTGATAATCCCACAGTTTGTCCTTTCCAGTGTATCTACCCCTACAGTTGGTTCACACCTTTCTTTCAGAACTGGCTTGTGAGTTTTTTCTAACCTGTGTTCTACCTGTTTATCTTATGCTCCCTCTGATATTTGTGGCCTTTTTTAGCATTAGTAATGCTACCTCTGAGGCCATGCTGATTTGTCCTTATTTAAAAAATAAGGTTTATATCTTCATACACTTTGAAGTGAACAGAACTTAAACATCTCTGGGTGCTTCCTGAGTTGCAGTACTGGATTAAAATTAAGCCTTACTCCCGTGATCTAACACTAGGGTTTATGCAAAACAGAAGAATGCAAACCCCAGCCAAATCAGGTCATGCTTCCTTTCCAATTGATTTAAAGCCAGAAACAACATCAACAACATCACATACAAGTAATCACAGAGACAAAGAAACTGTTTTCTTCATCTGCCATCACTCATAACTATAGTGGCAAAATGAAATTCTTTTGGCTTGGATAGATGTACTGCCTGAGCCAGCATGAACAAGTTCTGGAGTGCACAGTAATAATCAGCAGCTTGTGTGACTTCAGACCTTTTTATTTCACCCCAATTTTCACTAACAATTGAGAGCTGAGATGAGACATCAGAGCATTCATGCACATCCATAAAAACTGACTACTTGCACAGATTTTCTCTTCTGTTTAATAAGCACTCTGTAAGATGGTGGATTTGCTATCGTAATCTGCACACAACTCAGAAGCCTTTATCAATTAGTATCGTGCTACTATATAGACTAAGAAAAGCTTTTGCTAAAAAGGCAGCTGAACAGTATAGACCTTGGATTGTCATCAGTAACACATACAAAAACAAAAATCCTAACAACCAAATCACGGAATTCCCAAACTCTTATTCAAGCTTTGCTTAACATAAAATCTCACACAGAAATACAGTGGTCCAAGTATAATTCCCATCACTATCTATCAACTCAGTTTGCTTCACATCTTGAAGATAGCTTGGTAGGAAGTAAAACAGTATGCAAATTTTTGATGTTCAAAACATTACAAGTCACAAACAATTTGCATGGAATAGATGTTTTACCTCAGATCTTCCTCGGTATTTTAGGATTTTAGAGGCATTTACTGTAGAGAAAAGAACGATAGTTTTTTGTACTCCTTCAATCAGACAGATGAAATAGCACAAAAGATGCATTTCTACAGAAGAACACTTTCAAATGCATCAACAATCATCAGAGAGAAGTTTGAGTGTTTGTCATCAGAATTCTATGAGCATCACGCCTCAATTTACGTATACCTGTAAGTGTATTTACTATTGTACAGGAAATCTGAGGAAACTGCTAAGATGTCCTAGAAGCATTTATATTCACTGAACAACTACAGTGTGATTCTGAAAACTGGTCTACAGCTAACAGCTGAAATGTGCCTGTTATTGCACACTGTATTGCTAGAGGATTCTGTAAGAGTAACTGAGAAACAATACTCACATTTCTGGGCTCTCAGCTCACCTTTTCCCATTCCCACTCCAATTACTACATACTTTTAACAATATTGCAGTCATATATCATTTTTTTTACCAAAACTGTTTTGTTATGGACTTGTTGAACAAGTCCATTAACTTCCATAAGCCTGCCTTTTCCATGTCAGCTTTCCCTCATAGTACAGCACAAGTTTCATCATGCACAACTGAAAACTGCTATTAGTTTCCTGCCAATCTTGGAAATTCAAAACGGAGACCTAGATGGGATTTGCAGGACTTCAAGCAGATACTGCTCTTTACCGCTGTCTCATTTTACAGTCAACACTGAGATACATGAAATATTGTCAGAGGGTCATATGCTAATATTCTTACCTAGTGGAAAACATATAATTTACTTGATTTGAATGTTTGGTCTTTAATGCTTGTGATATACCTCCAGATACCTCATAATGAAAGGAATTTTAAAAGACTATAACCTAAATTTTGTTTCTCATTTTTTGCAGTTTCCATATAGGCATATTCATCATCCTTCTACCTGACACTTGGTCTCTGAGAAATAAGCTTGCTTATAAACATACTTCTTCACCTCTTACAGTACAACACTGGGTTATCACTTGAAAATGCTGCATATATATATATATATATATATACACACAACATATAATAACCACTAGGTGGCACTTTGCATTTGGATTTTAAAATTGCCAATTCAGAGAGAGATTTAACATTTTTTTAAACTAAATGTTCATGATACATGAAACAAAGCAAAATTCCTTTGAAAATCTGCCAGGAAGTTGTCAACTACTCTACGGTTTGTTTTTCAAGCAGGGAAACATTTTGATTTTTGTACTTAACTTGACAAAGCAGAAGCAACCTCACCTCTTATGGGCAATGTTTTCCAGACTGTAGGTCTGAACACCACTGCATGTAATTTAGGCTACATGGGAATTTATGAACATACACGGAATGAAATTCTTTCTACATTTTAATACGAGTAATAAGAAAGAAAGGAAAAGGAGGGGGTCCAGAAACAATGAGCTAGCAAATTGGAAGCAAAAATAACACAGAAGAACAGCTCAAAGAGGTAGCGGGAAGAAGACAGTGGCAAAAGCCTTTGCTGTTTGAAGTTACTTTGCTAAAATTATCTTCCATGTACCTTTGCCCGGATCCTGAATACATCACAGTGCTCCTGTGCAGCCTCAGCTGGGGATGTCCCAGTCTTCTGACCATGGACCCATCCCAGCTCAGGCCTGGGTCTTCAGCTGTGCTGCTGGTGCACATCTTCAGCCTCCCCACAGCCATGCCCATGCCCGCTTCCACCTGGGCCCTGACTCACTGCTGTGGCCCTACCTGGCCATTCTAGGGCTTTCTAACCCTTGTTCCCTGCATCAGGCTTGGTCATTACTCCCACCCACGGCCCGATGCCTCCCAAGAGGTGCCTGATGCCTGCACTCTGCTCTGCTCCATGCCTATGGGTGGAACAGGTCTGCGAGCTGGCAGAAACATGCTCATGTGTATGTGAGAAGATTGGCTGCAACGCTGTCCAGGAGCACCTCCAGTACTCCTGTCTTTAACGAAAACACTCTTGTGAAACTGTGCACAGTGCATACA